TACAACAGTACCTCTCTGTCACCTTCAGCAGTAATTTACAAAAGTAATACTCTGTCACCTCACCAGTAGTTTACAACAGTATCACTCTGTCACCTACACCAGTAGTTTAGAACAGTATCACTCTGTCACCTTCACCAGTAGTTTACAACAGTATCTCTCTGTCACCTTCACAAGTACTTTACAACAGTATCACTCTTTCACCTTCACCAGTAGTTTACAACAGTATCACTCTTTCACCTTCACCAGTAGTTTACAACAGTATCTCTCTGTCACCTTCACCAGTAGTTTACAAAAGTACCTCGCTTTCACCTTCACCAGTAGTTTAGAACAGTATCACTCTGTCACTTTCCCCGGCAGTTTACAACAGTATCTCTCTGTCACCTTCCCCAGTAGTTTACAACAGTATCACTCTGTCCCTTTCCCCAGTAATTTACAACAGTATCACTCTGACACCTTCCCCAGTAGTTGACAACAGTATCACTCTGACACCTTCCCCATTAGTTTACAACAGTATCACTCTTTCACCTTCACCAGTAGTTTACAAGAGTATCTCTCTGTCACCGTCACCAGTAGTTTACAACCGTATCTCTCTGTCACCTTCACCAGTAGCTTACAACAGTACCTCTGTCACCTTCACCAGTAGTTTACAACAGTATCACTCTGTCATCTTCACCAGTAGTTTACAACAGTATCACTCTGTCACCTTCACCGATAGTTTACAACAGTATCTCTCTGCGACCTTCACCAGTAGTTAACAACAGTACCTCTCTGTTACCTGCCTTAGTAGTTTACAACAGTATCTCTCTGTCACCTTCACCAGTAGTTTACCACAGTATCTCTCTGTCACCACTACCAGTAGTTTACAACAGTATCACTCTGTCACCTTCGCCAGTAGTTTACAACAGTACCTCTCTGTTACCCTCCCCAGTAGTTTTCAACTGTACCTCTCTGTCACCTTCACCAGTAGGTTAAAACAGTATCTCTCTGTCACCTTCACCAATTGTTTACCACAGTATCACTCTGTCACCTTCACCAGTAGTTTACAACATTATCACTCTGTCACCTTCACCAGTAGTTTAAAACAGCACCTCTCTGTCAGCTTCACCAGTAGTTTACAACAGTATCACTCTTTCACCTTCACCAGTAGTTTACAAGAGTATCACTCTTTCACCTGCACCAGTAGCTGACAACAGTATCCCTCTGTCACCTTCACCAGCACCTTACAACAGTATCACTCTGTCACCTTCACCAGTAGTTTACAACAGTATCACTCTGTCACCTTCCCCAGTAGTTTACAACAGTATCTCTCTGTCACCTTCCTCACTAGTTTACAACAGTATCACTCTGTCACCTTCACCAGTAGTTTACAACACAACCTCTCTGTCACCTTCACCAGTAGTTTACCACAGTATCTCTCTGTCACCTTCCCAAGTAGTTTACAACAGTATCTCTCTGTCACCTTCACCAGTAGTTTACAAGAGTATCACTCTTTCACCTTCACCAGTAGTTTAGAACAGTATCTCTGTGTCACCTTCCCCAGTAGTTTACAACAATACCTCTCTTTCACCTTCACCAGTAATTTACAACAGTACCTCTCTGCCACCTTCACCAGTAGTTTACCACAGTATCACTCTGTCACCTTCACGGGTAGTTTACAATAGTATCACTCTGTCACCTTCACCAGTAGTTTACAACAGTACCTCTCTGTCACCTTCAACAGTAGTTTACAACAGTACATCTCTGTCACCTTCACCAGTAGTTTACAACAGTACCTCTCTGTCACCTTCAGCAGTAATTTACAAAAGTAATACTCTGTCACCTCACCAGTAGTTTACAACAGTATCACTCTGTCACCTACACCAGTAGTTTAGAACAGTATCACTCTGTCACCTTCACCAGTAGTTTACAACAGTATCTCTCTGTCACCTTCACAAGTACTTTACAACAGTATCACTCTTTCACCTTCACCAGTAGTTTACAACAGTATCTCTCTGTCACCTTCACCAGTAGTTTACAAAAGTACCTCGCTTTCACCTTCACCAGTAGTTTACAACAGTATCACTCTGTCACTTTCCCCGGCAGTTTACAACAGTATCTCTCTGTCACCTTCCCCAGTAGTTTACAACAGTATCACTCTGTCACTTTCCCCAGTAATTTACAACAGTATCTCTCTGTCACCTTCCTCACTAGTTTACAACAGTATCACTCTGTCACCTTCACCAGTAGTTTACAACAGTATCACTCTGTCACCTTCCCCAGTAGTTTACAACAGTATCTCTCTGTCACCTTCCTCACTAGTTTACAACAGTATCACTCTGTCACCTTCACCAGTAGTTTACAACACAACCTCTCTGTCACCTTCACCAGTAGTTTACCACAGTATCTCTCTGTCACCTTCCCCAGTAGTTTACAACCGTATGTCTCTGTCACCTTCCCCAGTAGTTTACAACAGTATCACTCTTTCACCTTCACCAGTAGTTTACAACAGTATCTCTCTGTCACCTTCACCAGTAGTTTACAAGAGTATCACTCTTTCACCTTCACCAGTAGTTTAGAACAGTATCTCTGTGTCACCTTCCCCAGTAGTTTACAACAATACCTCTCTTTCACCTTCACCAGTAGTTTACAACCGTATCTCTCTGTCACCTTCACCAGTAGCTTACAACAGTACCTCTGTCACCTTCACCAGTAGTTTACAACAGTATCACTCTGTCATCTTCACCAGTAGTTTACAACAGTATCACTCTGTCACCTTCACCGATAGTTTACAACAGTATCTCTCTGCGACCTTCACCAGTAGTTTACAACAGTACCTCTCTGTTACCTGCCTTAGTAGTTTACAACAGTATCTCTCTGTCACCTTCACCAGTAGTTTACCACAGTATCTCTCTGTCACCACTACCAGTAGTTTACAACAGTATCACTCTGTCACCTTCGCCAGTAGTTTACAACAGTACCTCTCTGTTACCCTCCCCAGTAGTTTTCAACAGTACCTCTCTGTCACTTTGACCAGTAATTTACAACATTATCTCTCTGTCACCTTCACCAGTAGGTTAAAACAGTATCTCTCTGTCACCTTCACCAATTGTTTACCACAGTATCACTCTGTCACCTTCACCAGTAGTTTACAACATTATCACTCTGTCACCTTCACCAGTAGTTTAAAACAGTACCTCTCTGTCAGCTTCACCAGTAGTTTACAACAGTATCACTCTTTCACCTTCACCAGTAGTTTACAAGAGTATCACTCTTTCACCTGCACCAGTAGCTGACAACAGTATCCCTCTGTCACCTTCACCAGCAGCTTACAACAGTATCACTCTGTCACCTTCACCAGTAGTTTACAACAGTATCACTCTGTCACCTTCCCCAGTAGTTTACAACAGTATCTCTCTGTCACCTTCCTCACTAGTTTACAACAGTATCACTCTGTCACCTTCACCAGTAGTTTACAACACAACCTCTCTGTCACCTTCACCAGTAGTTTACCACAGTATCTCTCTGTCACCTTCCCCAGTAGTTTACAACCGTATGTCTCTGTCACCTTCCCCAGTAGTTTACAACAGTATCACTCTTTCACCTTCACCAGTAGTTTACAACAGTATCTCTCTGTCACCTTCACCAGTAGTTTACAAGAGTATCACTCTTTCACCTTCACCAGTAGTTTAGAACAGTATCTCTGTGTCACCTTCCCCAGTAGTTTACAACAATACCTCTCTTTCACCTTCACCAGTAATTTACAACAGTACCTCTCTGCCACCTTCACCAGTAGTTTCCAACATAATCACTCTGTCACCTTCGCCAGTAGTTTACAACAGTACCTCTCTGTTACCCTCCCCAGTAGTTTACCACAGTACCTCTCTGTCACCTTCGTCAGTAGTTTACAACAGTATCACTCTGTCACCTTCCCCAGTAGTTTAGAACAGTATCACTCTGTCACCTTCCCCAGTAGTTTACCACAGTATCTCTCTGTCACCTCCACCAGTAGTTTTCAACAGTATCTCTCTGTAACCTTCCCCAGTAGTTTTCAACAGTATCTCTCTGTCACCTTCCCCAGTAGTTTACCACAGTATCTCTCTGTCACCTTCACCAGTAGTTTACAACAGTATCACTCTTTCACATTCACCAGTAGTTTACCACAGTATCTCTGTCACCTTCACCAGTAGTTTACAACAGTATCACTCTTTCACCTTCACCAGTAGTTTACAACAGTACCTCTCTGTCACCTTCCCCAGTAGTTTACCACAGTATCTCTCTGTCACCTTCACCAGTAGTTTACAACAGTATCACTCTTTCACATTCACCAGTAGTTTACCACAGTACCTCTCTGTCACCTTCACCAGTAGTTTACCACAGTATCTCTCTGTCACCTTCACCAGTAGTTTGCAACAGTATCTCTCTGTCACCTTCACCAGTAGTTTACAACAGTATCACTCTTTCACATTCACCAGTAGTTTACCACATATCTCTCTGTCACCTTCAAACAGTAGTTTTCAACAGTACGTCTCTGTCACCTTCCCCAGTAGTTTTCAACAGTACCTCTCTGTCACCTTCCCCAGTAGTTTTCAACAGTACCTCTCTGTCACCTTCACCAGTAGTTTTCAACAGTATCACTGTGTCACCCCTGCCCAATTAGTTGAGAATAGTTTTTCTTGACCATTCATGATACATAATCCACATTATAAATTGTGCAGCAGTAATAATTCCAGTTAACCATTTCCTTTCAACTGGGGGCGGTCGGGTAGCCTAGTGGTTAAAGCGTTCGCTCGTCACACCGAAGACCCGGGTTCGATTCCCGACATGAGTAAAACGTGTGAAGCCCATTTCTGGTGTCCCCCGCCGCGATATTGCTGGAATATTGCTAAAAGCGGCGTAAAACCATACTCACTCACTCACTCCTTTCAACTCGGACTGGAAAAAGCCTGTCCCCACAACTTTATCATACCGCTATTCTATTGTATGAAATTTTTCAACGAGACCCGCAGTTCAGATTCACATACGTTTGGTGCAGTCATGGCCGCTGTATCCATTGAGACACTCGCACGCAGATCGACATGGATTGGGACAAGTACCGTTGCCGTTACAACTTCTGTCGCTGATGCAGACGTACTTGAAGCTGTCGTATCGGGCTCGGCATACGACAATCTCTGGAAAAATAAATAAATATATGAATGAACACTCAAACAAACAAACAAACAAAGAAACACACAGAGCAGTAAACTTATCATTGACGTGAGCAGTAGTCTCAACGTGACTACACAAAAAATTCCGGGACATAAATTGGATATATGCTATTGGAAAATGTTTGTGGCTTGATATTCGACAAACGGTGTGTCAAAACGCGGGTATTGTCGAATTGCAATGTCTTAAACGGCATTGTTTTCACACTTGTTAAAAAATATATATATTTTTAAGAATTGACCTTCACTTTGTGTGCGTTCATTGGAGTATGAACCTTCATAGAGTGAGGGCCAAACTGTATGAACGTCGGAGCTTGCGATTGTCATGAATATTTTGTGATATCTTTTTATTGTTGTTTGCTAGTTTTAAACATTAAATCTGTGATATTCTAGTAATTGTACCGTCCATCGCTGACAGGTTCTTTATTTGGTTTAAACATATAAATACTGTATAATTTCTCCTCATGATATGGCTGAAATATTGCCGATGTGACATAAAGCATAAACTCACTCACTCCTTTAATATGTTTTACGCAAATGTGTCTTTTTGCTAATATCAATGAGTGATTTATAAGAAGTTGTTTGTACCTCCAAAATAGATGATTTTTTTTGCCTAAAACATCAACACAGCTGGTCTTTCCCGATTTGTCAGACAGATTACAGGTTAAATGATAGATGACCCGTGAAGATCCGGGGTAGAACAGGTCTTCAACACCACATGCTTGCCGTGAAAGGCGACTATGCTCGTAAGAGGCGACTAACGGCATTGGGTGGTCAGGCTCGCTGACTTGGTTGATGCATGTCATCGTTTCTCTATTTCTTGGATAGATGCTCATGAAGTCAATCACTGGATTGTCTGGTCCAGAAAAAATGATTATTTACAGACCGCCGTCATATAGCTCTTATATTGCTGAGTGCGGCGTTAAATAACACACAAACAAACCAAATCCCACTGAAACATCGTTAGCTTGAAATGTACAGGTATTGAACTACGTTCAATACCTTTAGATTGAAAACATGGTATGGAAATTTCCCACAAGCGCGTCTACAGGACTTCTTGGTGGTCAGCAACGATATATCTTTTTACGTTGTCAGTAATGTTTTATGTTATCAACAATTGTGTTTTGTTGCGTCTACAAAAATATTTTATTGTGTCAGCAATAATGCTTTTTTTACGTCATCAATAAACCTTTTTTAACAATCATACGATGGTTGAGTAAAAAACAGCATGTTCATAACACCGACAATGCTGTAGAGTGCATTGAAATTGAATTGTCATGTGATTGTATTTAACCGCATGGATAAAGATAAAGACATTCAACTTGCTTTACAAGGAGGTGAGCAAGATACATTATTGAGTCCGGTTTGTTACGGATGTTGGGTCTTGATTTCCGTATGTGGTCAGAATGGCAAACTTGTGTGAAGAATGGAATGCGGAAATGGAACCTTATCACTTTCTGCAGACCATACAATCACTGAGAGCAGGCAACTCGATTATTGATGGATCTGACGTCATGGAATACTTGTGCCAGGGCGTTGGTTGGTTGGCTTGTTTAACGCCACACCCAGCAATATTCCAGCTATATGACGGCGGTCTGTAAATAATCGAGTCTGGACCAGACATTCCAGTGATTGATATCATGAGCATCGATCCACGCAATTGGGATCGATGACATGCATCAACCAAGTCAGCGAGCCAGACCACCCGATCCCGTTAGTCGCATCTTACGACAAGCATAGTCGAATTTTACGGCAAGCATGGGTTGCTGAAGACCTATTCTATCCCAGAATCTTCACGGGCCACTTGTGCCAGGACGTAACCACCTTTGCTTCCTTTTCTTGTACTAGGTCACGCCGAAGACCCGGGTTCGATTCCCGACATGGGTACAATGTGTAAAGCCCATTTCTGGTGTCCCCCGCCGTGATATTGCTGGAATATTGCTAAAAACTCACTCACTCACTCTTGTACTAGGTGTATTCATAAGGTAGAGAATATATGGATGTCAACTTCTTTATTATGAGGAACATAACGTTTTGGAGTGTATGCTTATTCCTTCATCGGGTGACTGGAAGCCAGTACTTAAGTATCGTAGATAAGTAATAGGTAATGGACATTCGGCAAACTGCCTCATGGCTTTCATTCAGTGAGTGAGTATAGTTACGCCGCTTTTAGCAATATTCCAGCAATACCGTGGCGGGGACACCAGAAATGGGCTTCACACATTGTACCCATGTCGGGAATCGAACCCGGGTCTTAGACGAGACGAGATAACGCTTTAACCACTAGGCTACCCGACCGCACCGGCATTCATTCACCTGATGAAGGAGTAAGCATATATTCCGAAACGTTCTCTTCCTCATAATAAAGAAGTAAGTTGACATCCACACATTCTCTTCCTTATGTGTATCACTTCTAAATGCCTTTCAAAGACCTAAATGTATTCAGGTGGTGTGGTAGCCTAAATGTTAAGGCGTTCGCTCGTCCAGCGAAAACCGGGTTCGATTAAGATATTATGTTTTGTTTTGTTTGTTGGTTGATTAACGCCGCACTCAGCAATATTCCAGCTATATGACGGCGGTCTGTAAATAATCGAGAAATATATTTCAAAGAAATTGTGCTCTCTATTTGAATTTTTTTATAAGTGATTTTATGTATTTCACAAAGGTAGAGAAGATACCCGCTTTTGTAAGAACATATGAAATCAATATTACAGTAATTTCGTTGGATCACATCAATACAATTCAAAATGGAGTGTCTAGAACGAGCAGAGTCGCCATGTGAGTACCACGTGGAGGATGTCCGTGAACGGGTCCAAAATCCGGATACTGCTTGGGTCAAGAGTTTCGTCACAACACATCCGTCTTCGAAGAACACGATTAACAAGAGGTTGTGCAAGACATGCATATTTATAAATTTATTCCCTTGTAAAACAAGTGACAAAAAACACAGACTTAAGTGAGTCAGGTTAGGTTCAGAGGAAAGCCGGAACAACAACATTATAAACAGATACAAACAATCACAAATATACATTTATCGAAAGATGTAATGAAAATAGGCAATTCATTAAAATTTAACTTTCTCCGAAGGAATCTTGTGACATTTTTTAACAGAAACGTACCTTGGGTACATATTTGATTTTTTGGTTGGTTGGTCTGTTGTTTAACGCCGCACTCGGCAATATTCCAGCTATGACGGAGGTCTGTAAATAATCGAGTCTGGACCAGACAATCCAGTGATTTATGTCATGAGCATCGATCCACGCAATTGGGATCGATGACATGCATCAACCAAGTCAGCGAGCCTGACCACCCGATCCCGTTAGTCGCCTTTTACGACAAGCAAAATCACCTTTTACGGCAAGCATGGGTTGCTGAAGACCTATTCTACTCCGGAACTTCACGGGTCTCCTATTTGAAGACCCATGGTAGAATAGGTCTTCGGCAACCCATTCTTGTTGTTAAAGGCGACTATGCTTGTCGAAAGAGGCGACAGACTGGATCGGGTGGTCAGACTCGCTGACTTGTTTGATGCATGTCACCGTATCCAAATTGCGTGGGATACGATGACATACATCAACCAAGTCAGCGAGCCTTACCACCCGATCCAGTCTGTTGAGACCCGTGAAGATCCGGGGTAGAATAGGTCTTCGGCAACCAATGCTTGCCGTAAAAAGCGACTATGCTTGTCTTAAGAGGCGACTAACGGCATCGGGTGGTCAGGCTCGCTGACTTGGTTGATGCATGTCATTGTATCCCACTTGCTCATGATATCGATCACTGATGTCATTTCGCTTTGAAATCGTAATGCAGCAGTGATGCCTGTTTAATACATCGATTCCTATTTGGATTCCGGTTTAGAATAGGTCCCCATCAATCAAAGTATGTACTAACTGCTTCCTAAGGGGCGACTAACGTGATCGGGTGGTCAGGCTCGCTGACTTGGTTCATGCATGTCATCGATCCCAATTGCGTGGATCGATGCTCATGATATCAATCACTGGATTGTCTGTTCCAGACTCGATTATACAGCTGGAATATTGATGAGTGCGGCGTAAAACAACAAACAAACCAACAACCAACTGAGGGGCGACACAATGATGGCTGATTCTATGTCATCGTACCCCGAAGTTGTAGAACGTAGCTTATGGTAAAAATCGACCCGTGAAGATTCTGGGGTAGAATAGGTCTTAAGCAACCCATGCTTACCGTAAATGGTGACTATGCTTGTCGTAAAAGGCGACTAACGGGATCGGGTGGTCAGGCTCACTGACTTGGTTGATGCATGTCATCGATCCCAATTGCGTGGATCTATGCTCATGATATTAATCACTGGATTGTCTGTTCCAGACTCGATTATTTACAGACCGCCGTCACATAGCTGGAATATTGCTGTGTGCGGCGTTAAACAACAAACCAACCAACCAAACCAACCAACCTTTGTTTATATTATGCAGTACACTGTGAATAGTTAATCTTAAACAAAGGGAGATAATTTACTGAAACTACGTCGTTAAGCCTTGATACCCCAAGTCGGAGAGCAACATACTGCAATACTGCAAGAAAGATTTGACTTGAATTTGTGACACTGAATGGTCCAGAAAATTCCATAATAATAACCATGCTGAATAATAAACTGTAAATAATGTCTCTCTAGCTGTTCAACAGCAATCCTTGTTAAACCCATGTTGTTGACCGGAAGTCAATATTGATCTGAACATTGCGACCAATTCATCAATAAAATATAATATTGTATAGTTTGTTATATTTATATTAAATACAAGAGGGGAAGCAATTTGCTCACAAAGAAGATTCAATAACTTGAAAGGTATGTGTTTTCACTGTAAATGTACCATAGGAAAGAATATTTATCACGTTGATCATATTCAAGCACTCGTACACAAAGTAAGTATTCTACACTTGCTATATTGAAGTCAGATACTCTGTAGAGGACTTCAGGATAGATCTTCAGCAACCCATGCTTGCCGGTAAAAGGTGACTATGCTTGTCGTAAGAGGCGACTCACGGGATCGGGTGGTCAGGCTCGCTGACTTGGTTGATGCATGTCATCGATCCCAATTGCGGGGATGCATGATCATGATATCAATCACTGGATTGTCTGGTCCAGACTCGATTATTTACAGACCTCCGTCATATAAGCTGGAATATTGCTGAGTGCGACGTTAAACAACAAACCAACCAACCAACCAACTTTAGGCAAACATTCTAGAAATATGCAACATTCTTGAAGATGCGGGGTAGAATAGGTCTTCAGCAACCCATGCTTGTCGTACAAGGCGACTATGCTTTCCTTAAGAGGCGACAATCGGGTTCAAGTGGTCAGGCTTGCTGACTTGATTGATGCATAGCGTCGTCTCCCAACAACAAACAAACCAAACCAAACAATAGTTC